GGTCGATCCTGCTTTCAGGAGCCTGATGTCAAGCAGTAGTGACATCGGTTTTAACTTGGAAATATAGATATCAATATATTTGTAAGTGAAAATAGCCCTCATCTGGTATTGCTGCATCAATTAATTATTCGCCTTATTCCAGAAATTGTAATAATAAAATTTATCGCGAAGAGATGAGACAACTGTTTTGGTTGCCATCTGTAGAACCTACGTAATATTACGTCAAATTAGCCCAACCTCTTATAGGAATCTCAAGTTCTGATGATTGTTGTTCAAAAACCAAAAAGAAACAAAAATAAAATTGGCCTATACTTTGGCTAGGTATGTTCGTTGGCTTTGCCGAAAAAAAAATTATATTAGTTAATTTTTCTAAGTAAAAATAGATTCTAAAACAAGTTTATTTTAATAACCACAATGCTATTTTATGAAACCAAAAATATATGTTTTTTGGAGTTTTCACAGTTTGAAATCCAACTATACATTTGTTTTTTACCAAGTACCTTCCCTCTGTTCATTAAAACGATGACTCAGGGATGACGCTTGAACACTTTTCTTCTTACTCATACCTCATTTAGCTCTGGTTTCTCCACATCAAAAATCTTTTATTCCTTTGTCACTGATCTTTATTGCTGTTTCTTTACATTAATGGACCCTTTTAGGTGATCGTATTCTCTATCAGAAGCTTCTAAGATTACGCTACATGACCATAAATCGTTTAGGCCAAATATTATGTGCGTTATAGATATGGAAGGGTGACGATGATGAAACGAAGTTACGTTCGTCATTGAGAACTAAGTCATGTTTTTGGAGATGAAACATTATCAATTTCATCAGCAAATGTCCCCTTAATGGGTGACTTGGTTAATATCTTAATGGAAGAAGGAAATGAGTGAATGAGGGATTTTTTGAGAATATACACATGTCTAAAATAGACCAAACAAAAACTATAATTAATTAAATTAAATTTTGTGAAAAAGACATCGAGTAACTATTAAAGATATATTGTTTTGTGATACTACTGTAATTTTGTGATGTGTTTGATTCCATGTTCTAACCAATTACAGGATAGTAATTATATAATTTTAATTACCTTATTAATTATTGCAAATCGCAATGAAATTGATTTCAGATTTCTCGTAGAGAAAGTAACAATCGTCAATTAAACTTTGCTATACACTCAACAATGCTATTATTAAAGTTTATGTTGTACAGAATTGCAAATTAAATTATAATTGTGTATGTGTATCTCATATAAATTAATGACAAAATCTCATAAAAAATAATGATAATAGCAATAAGAAATATAATTCTGTAAGTAGGTACTAAAAGTAGGTTTATTATTTACTAAATTTATTATAACAAATAATCTCAAATCCGCTATATTTGCCAGATCCCATCAAATCCCTCCCCATATTAATATATCTTTTCACTCTATATCTCTTCTCACATTGCTAGTAGATTAAAACAACCCTTAACAAAGGGCAAAAAAAAAATCAAACGCACAAAAACGTATGAATCATAGGCAGGACGTTTGGATGAACGAAATAATTCCAAACTGGCGAGGGTTGTAAATTTGTATGTACCTAAAAACCACCCCAAGTAAACGGGGCGTACTCGATTTTGCAAACGAGAGCAGCATCCAGAGAAACCATTAAGAATTAGTTGGTAAACAAAAGAAGAATTTTTGGCAGAGGCGGAAAAGGGGCACCCAGAATATATTAATCATAGATTTAAATTATAGAAAAAGTAAATAGTTTGGTTAGCAAATTGTTAGTATAAAAATTGAAAAAAATATGAAGTCTATTTCATATTTTCTTATTATTCTCACTAATTATTATTAAGGAAATGCATGCATATAATTACAAAAATATAAAATCTAACGTTTCTAATTGCGTAAGTAGTTCCTATATCGTTTTTTTATTCATGTAACGGTTGTCACAGCCCATATACTTTTACAGACTGGTTATTCTCAATTATATTATGCTCCATATAAATATTAATAATATAGAGAAGTTCATCAAGTAATTAAAATTTAAACATGCAGTTTATTAAACTTGTTATTTAAATTGAAAAACCTCTTTTTTTGGGTAAAACTATATAATATATCATTAATTTCAACTTCTCTAATTTTTGTTTTCAGTTAATGTTACTGAAAGTTTGCCAATGTTACTGAATAAAAAATGAAGAAAAAAGTTGTGAAACATTGTTTATATGAAAACAACATAAATCTAATCACACATAAAAAGTTTTCAAAGAATGACGATACTTCTCTTACTTGTAATTATCATTTTCTCCTGCCGGAAACTAGGCAACCCTTAATGCAAACATACTTTTCCTATCAAGCTATAAATATGAGTTCTTTCCCCTTAAGTACACATTTCATATCTAAAAAAAACTAACGGTTAGTCACAAGTTCTTCGTGTTTTTTTATAGGTGATAAACTGATAACAGTGAGTATTTTGTATATATGAAAAGTCTGGAAGTGAATCATACGAAAACTTTCTTTAAAACGGTTTCTGAGAAAATGTTGGGAGTAATAATATTTGTCACAGTAATGATTAGATAAGAAAATTGACACAAAATGTGTACAGTAAACGGATTTTTTATATAAAAAAATAACTGATAAGGTATTACGATTATATACTGTCAATTCCCTTTCTCCATTTATCTATCCCTAAAGGCGGCTTTGTGCATAGTTATGACTCACGACGCAACATCATCCACATTTTCCTTGTTTTCTGCTCAGGGATGCTGAGAACTACCCTTGCACACGTTTAATGCACGGCGAGGGCATCGGCAGTTTAGGGATGTGTGACGTCATCTAAAACGTGCAAGCAGGGGATGAAATTTTTGGGGGTGGTTTCACGTGTGGGGCAGGAGTTGTGCACGTGTCTTGGAGTATTAGTCACGTGATAACTCGGCAGCGGTCTTGGAGATGTTGATGTGTCGATTAGGTTCGAGATGCTCGGAAATTGGTCCTAGATGTCTTTGAAAGAGGATTCTTTATTTTCTAATAAAAAATTTAATATTGGTAGTATTTGATCATCCAAGTTTACAGACAACCCTTATGATTATTGTGTGTTAGAAAAAATGCGTTTATATTACTTTTAAATATAGAGCAATAAGTAGCATAATTCTATCTAATTATAAATAAATTATCTGGTGTTTATGGAGAAGATGTTTGAGGAGAATGTGTTGTTTTGCAAGAATGAGTTAAGATCGATGTTGTCCACCGAAGGCTGACGTATAATTGTGAACAATGCGGAAGAATAACTAGTCCACCAATGAGTTTAAACTTATCAAATTCAACTATTTCCGACTTGATAAATAATTGATTCTCCATCATGTTTATTCTGTCTCCCAGTATCACTTCCTTGACAAATTTCTTCCATAATATTTCTCGATCTTCAAATGCCTCTGCACAGGCATGAATCATTTCTATAGTTTACATTTATAATTCTTATTGATTACAAAACTCATTTCTATGACTCAAATCATTTTATTGTACATTTCATCTTAATTGCTCACTACGGTAAACGATACGGTGTTAATAGCTTTAACGCGCGCCGAATCAAATAGATTTTATTGTGGTAAATAACTCAAATGTTACGATGTGTGTTTATAAATTTGTTAACGGGTTACGATAGTTAGAAGAACGTTGATGATTTTTGTAAATAAGATGATTTAATGATAATTTGACGTTTGAGAATTTCTTATGAAATGATATCACTAATTTGGAATGTGCGAAATTATTTGATGTGAGTTTGGAGAAAAATATGTGTTGTTTCAGAAATGGTTAAGCAAATCGATGCCTATTTTTTTGTCTGACCTGTATTCAATTGAAGTTGACAGAATGGTAATAGAAAAAAAAATGGTACCATAACGTTTTATTACCTTCTTTAGTGGATAATAAGCAAGCTTCTGAAGTTATGAAAGTTTAATATAGTTTTCACCAACAAGTCCTAAAAACCATGAAAAGGCCAAAAAAATCAAGTCTAGCCATATAGAGTCAAAAAGATTTTGGTATAAATCTTAACCCGAGTTGGACTCAGTCCTACAAAAAGCTCTAATAATGGCCATAATGTATTCCCAAATTAAAATTGCAGTTATCTCCATTAATGAATTATTTGCTAGACTTTTAGATTATATTTCAAGCTTAAGACAGAATTCATAAACTGAATTTTCATGCAAATGACAAAAGACTCCATTTAATTAATAACACCAGATAATAAGCAGTCAACAATGCCACAAGCTAGTTTGTTGTGCCTTAGGGATTTAGACGACCTTGTATCCATCAAACCATTATATTTTTCCATCCATCTACTTCGCCTCTGACATTTATGTTCTAGTCCATTTATTTTATCTGAAAGTTCATGATTTCGCAATATCCTATGCGGGTGTATAATAAACTAGAACGCTTTTGTATATGTTGGGTCATATCGCAGAGAATATACGCCTGGGCGGAAGTGTAGTCAAAACGGTGCATCTAGAATCGAGTTTAGATAACACAATGTATATGTCACATTGCATTTGTATTTTATAGTAGGTGGTTTCTGACAGACAGACTAATAATAGTCCTGAAAGATAACGTATTCTCCCGCAATGGAGTGATTCGAGTGAACGCGAACTAGTCAACCGTCAAAAGATAAGACACAGGACGAAAGGGTGTAAAAGTAGAATATGTGGAGGATTTATCACTACTATTTGTGGTGGAGTCATGTGCATGAGTCAGTGCTTTTGAAACAAGAAAAATGTAAGGCTTGGTAAAGGATACCATGTCTCTTAAAAGACATGGTATCCTTTCACCAACATTGGGATCAATTAGACAAGTTTCATTAAATAAATGCTCATATCTGATGCAATTAATCAAAATATGAAAAATAATAGTGTAGGAAAAATTTGTATAAAATGAAAACTTGCACTTGCCTATAGAACCGTAAATTTCCGAAAACCCATGATACTCAAATATAAAAACAAAAAAATATTTCCTTCCCACTTACCTATGAAGTCGAATGCTTCTTCGAAATACTGCTTCAAATTCTGCTGCGCCGAATCCGAAGCAGGTAGTAACTTATGCGTCACTGATGAAGATGTACTCGAACAAGAACTCGTCGACGCCGATGATGTCGTCGAACAAGGACTTGAGGGCAAAGATGTACTAGAACTAGAAGATGCTAATGAAGCACAGGAAGGGCTATTTGATAGATCATCTGATGAAGAACATGATGGTAGAGAGTTGTCATCACTACTGGCTGATGTGCATATCGTTGGTTCTGCTGTGCAAACTGATAGAACTCTGTTTGCTCCGAGCAAAGTCGGATGTTCAGCGTCTCTACCGTTGCCTAGATAGAGGAATGGGAATAGTCTTGATGCAGGATGATTGTCAATATCTGGAAGGAATAGAACTATCAATAAAATTGAAAGTCAGACAAAAAATTCTTTAGACAAAAATTCTTTAGAAACTTTGGAAGCATAAAGACATCCCAAGTGATTATTTCACTAATACAAAAAAATTTTTAAAAAATGTCTGGTTATTAAGTGTAGTTTTTGATAAAGTACTAGATATATTCAATAAATATTCTTTAAGATTTTAACTGTACATTCGTATCTGATTGGCCCATCATTACACGCACTTATAAACCTATTATATTAATTACAGCTATGACTACTTGAAAAAACAATTGATAAATTATTTATAAGCCCCACTGGGTTGAAGAAAAATTATAGTACTTTCCGAACTCTTCAATATGCAGCTATGATTCACTATATTGCACCTATATTTCTTTTTCCCGTGAACTAATGATATGTTTCCATGATAAAGCTATGATTCAATCATTTGATTGAATAGTATGATACAAACCTTGTATGAAATTTATTACGACAGAAATATATTAGAACCAACACCTAATCAATTGAACTTTTGCTATAACTTATATGCATGGGGTATGAATAACAAAGCTTATTGTTATTTTATTACATACATATTCAATCGTTTGAATGTATCATTATTTAATTTTTGACATTTCAATGCTATTAACACAATGACCATTGTCTTATATTATGTTTATACGCGAACTATATACTTTAAACTTAATTGAATTATGTACATTGGAGATATGTGAATCATATTTTAATAATAATAAAAGGATTAATATGGCGAATTAATACACAATGAGTCGTGAGTGAGTTATAAATTAACCAGGGTAGACAAATGGCCTCTATTGCCAATGGTGTGTTTTCAATATAAAATCTGGGCCAAATGCATTAGCGAAACAAAATGACATAGAGTCGGCTTGTTAACGTCTCATTAAGTACATTTGCCAACTGTGAACGATTTAGGGCATCTGTGCATCAAATTATGTTTTGAATGAAATGTCCCGTTAAAATGTTATAGCATAGAAATTTAATTTATTTTTTGGGGTTAAAAGTTATTATTTAAATTTATTATTATTTATTAATTTATTTAATTACCTGCGGGTTCAAGAATGGGGTCCGACAGAGGGCTTCCAGGCAAAGGTGAGCCCAGCACACCTCTGGCAGCTGGACTGGACCCGCCACTGTTTGATCCATTTGGTAACAATGTATCTTCACAGAATTCCCTGTGTTTACGATGGAATTCTTTGTGTCCTCCTGGAAAAAGAAAAATTTAATAAATAAAATATATTCAACAAATTTAATCACATATTGTTAGGTTTCTAGTAGAAATAGTACTGTAAGAATTATTAACTCATATTAATAATTTCTTCTCAAAAGCTATCATTAGTTATCAATTCCGGCACTCAGCCACATAAATATTAATGTGTCATATTTAACCATGTTATTCTCGATAATCATTACTCATATTCATATTGTAAATTAAACAAGTACAAACAAAAGACTATACAAACATAACCGAAGAACCGATCCTTTAAAATCGACCTACCCACGGGCTTACGAATCGCAAATAGTTGATAATCTTAAACCCTATTAAGAATACAACAAATTGATATAAATAATAAAAGGTAAAAAACAACAATATCTCAAACAAGGAGTTGAAATGAAATCATAAGGAAAGTCCATTTGTTGATTCATCGTGTGGAGATCTTGCATCTTATTAGTCATCTCCACCGCAAGGTGACTGAAATCTAGATAAAGTCTAAGGTTAAAACTACCAGTTTTATGATGTAAAGTTGTTTGTCATTAGATGACAAATAAAAATAATAGAATTAAACAGTGGATGTTGTCTCGAAAAAATCGATTTACATTCTATTTATAAAATTTGTTATAATGGTAACTTAAAAATAAATCTCTACTGAATCATCTTTCTGGCTTGTCTGGAAAATGTTAAATATCAAATACATTTATATTTGATATTTTTATATCGGCGTTTACCTAGCTTGCTCATTGCAAATATATATATATATATATATATATATATATATACATAAATATAATCAAGGTGTGCATAACGAAGAGTAATATATACAAACTTATGTTAGTCACACGCATCCAGTACACAAATGTTGATTTTTATTTAGTCTGAATCCATCGATAATAATATTTGAACAAGTGATGAGTTGTATGCTCAAATCACAGATATATAAAAATACATAACAGATTTTTTTAAATTATTATAAATACCGAAAAACAAACAATCGTCTTTAACGAAGAGATAGATGTAAAATATAGAAATATGTTTCACGATTTTATTTTTATAGAGAAAGCAATGCAAACCCAATTTTGTTAATCAAATTCCAACATTCACCAAGTAAATTTGAAATTTTTGTCAACGATTATCTCAAATGTTAATATACATGTATAAAAATATTAACTCATAACAAGGAACCAAATCTTTTATCAAACATAACTTTCAAGAACGTTTTAAAGGCCACTCGCTACAAACAAGTAATCAAATTATCAAGATACGTTCGATAACGGATATGTTGATGAATAAATTTTTTGCCAACGTTTCGAATAAAATTAAAATTATGAATCATATGTATTTTTCTTCTTAAAATGAACGAAAAACTTGGAAATTTGATTGGAGTATCTTATCAATAATCAAAGCCTTGTAGAGATAATCAAGACAGGTCATTAAACGGTTTTGTGAACTAATCGAATGATACTGACTGAAAAGATAAAATTTGTACTGATCATGCAGACGTCAATAGATATTGTTTTATCTCGAAAACAAAGATATATTTTGTGTTATACAATGAGTTGTGATCTAAAGTAAATATAGTAAGAAAAAGTGAAATTTTCATGAAGTAATTAGAGCAATCATTCATAGTTGAACTATAACTTTGATGATACTATTTTTACCAATCTTGGCATTATTTATAATAAAAATGATGCAAAAGGGGAATCAGAAATGTAATAGGAACAATTATAAATTTGTATAAATTTATGTCAATTTCGGAATCATTTATATACTAATGTAGTATTTTTTTTATTTTAAAGTGTGTTTTTTCTTTGAATATTGTCTTCATATATTTACCTACTGAATTTATTTAAAAAATCTTAGAAAAGTAGGCATAAGAAAAAAGCAAATATTTTTTTTGCAAAAAAAAATACATTTTCTGTAATATAAATAAATTACAGAAAAGGATGTGAATGTGAGTATAGATTTCTCTTAATTATATTAAAGTTAATGTTTTTCCATCCAGTTCAATATGTAGTAAAATATTTCAATTTCTTTTTATTATAAAAGATCTTACAGGAAACCATTTATATTTATGTGCTCAAATTATATTATATATATATATATATATATATATATATATATATATATATACATGAATATATTATTATATTATTTATCGTTAAGTCGTGATATCGTTTAAATAGTGTCACTAGAAAGTACAAATATTTCGAAATCGTTGATAGGATATTGAGCAAAACACCTAACGCGAGATATAGTCACATTAATATTCAAAATAATATAAAAATAAAATAATAATTCACATTCGTAGATTACTGTAAGTATATTTCAGTGCAGTTATCTGAGTTGCATTTAGAAATCTATTTCTTGGGTGGCCGTAGGGAATAAATATTTGTATTATCATATAAATAAATATAAAAATTATGCAATATATCCCATGAATACATATGTAAATTTTTTAAGTGAAAATTAGATAATATGTTGAGACTAAAGAGAAATAACAAGCTCAAAATAGGTAGTAATTTTAGTGTCGAAAGGCATTGAAGACAAGTTTTATTTTAGACAAGTTTAGTACACTTTTTTATACGACGATTATCAAATAAATATTTCATTTCATTAAGTATGCGATTTTACCAGTTAAATATAATTTATTTCCCTATTCAAGTGTCAATTATAATTTCATAAAATTTATTTCCAAACAAGTTTCCTTCTATATTCTATCTGCACAATAAATAATAATCGAACGTCTTTTTCGTTAATTTCTCACGCCTGACTCGTCACGTCATCCCGGGTCTCCGTCAAAGTTCCCGTGGGCGAAGCCATCCAAGTCTTCTGCCATCAATAAAATTAAATTGATCCGTTTAATTGGTTTTTTCATTAAACGAATCAACAATCAATCAACGCGGTCACACGAATAAATCATGAATAATAGATTTAGGGCTTTAGATAATTTATTATTAGCACATAGTGCTTTTATATTGGAAAGTATGATGGGTACCCGCATCGGGAGGCGGATGACACATAAGCCCGTATTGTCCTGAGGTAAGACCGCAGATAAGAACGCGTGTTTTGTAATGAATCGAGTTTGTACACATGTACTTTTTTGTCGATTTTGTTTGGAAACTGGAATAAAGCAAATTAGTGGAGGTAATTACATGTGGTAATACACACCTGCAGGTAATCAAAATGGTAATATACACACACGAATGTATATGAGCTTTTATAATATAAAATATTTTGCTTTTTATTTTCTTACTATTTTTTTTATTATGTTTTATTTTTACTATCAAGTAGTTTACCATTTAACAATCTTGGCAAAACTTGCTAACAATCTTCAGTGAATTTATTTTTAAAAGAGGGCCTTTCCAAAGTTGACCAATTTTTTGATAATTTAATCAACAGAACTTTTCTTGAAAACTTGCAAAAACGGTGTCATTATTTTTATTGTAATCATTAAAATGTTATTTACCTTTACGGATCCCAAGTTTAAATGAATAAAATTAATAAAAATAAACGCAATAACCGAATAATGATGGCAGTTGCACCAAAGTACTAGATTGAATTAAAAGCTCATAATTTCTAAACACGTAAATTTAATATTTTTTCTAATTTTTTTCAGGACAGTTACGGCCAATACTATCACCAAGTTTCGGCCTAATGTTGAGTTCTGGGACATCCTGTGTAAAGCTCCAAGAAGATCTTATTAATTTGTAAAGCTTTCTCTTAAATTCATTCGAAAAAGTGGCATTGATGGATTTCATGTAAAATAATCGTGACTAAAAATAAGTTTATAATAAATAAAAATATGAAGAACCCATCGTACTTACACAAACATATGAGTAAAAATGTGCATCGATTCGTACTAAAAGTTAGATGATTCTCTTTGTTCGCTAGACTATAGAGACTATTACCAATTCCCAAGAATAAATCATTAAAATTAATTTTCCCATTCGACCTGCATTTCAGACTATAAAAATTGCTTTTCTTATATAAAACAACCGTGACTAATGAACAGTGAGCAAGTTTGCTCAACAATTATAATTTCTCACAGCCTGAGAGTGATTCATCCAGTAGAGACCGTCGTTCTCGAGTACACAAGATTTCATACACAGAGTTTAAATCTCGTTACAAACGCATTTCGAATCGATATTTTCTTTGAGCCAAAGAACGGTCGCAATGATACGATAAAAAGATTTCGCTACGTTCTTTGTGTGTGGTTCACGAGGAGGCCTTGCCTTTCACTTCGGCATCTGTTCTTCCGCAATAATAATCCAATTTTGCTCTTGGGGGAAGGGAATTGATATTTGATATAAACAATAAACTAAAGATTTTTGTAATTTATTATAAGGTTTCTCATACGAAATAGGACTACTAATAATTGAATATGATAGTTGACTAGTTGACCGATTCTGAAGATGTTAAGGGGCGTCCATTAATCACGTGATCAATTTTTAAAGATTTTTGGACCCCTTTTCCCCTTGGTGATATTTAGGATCACCCTCCTCCCTTTAGAGTAAAAGTAATAATTATAAATTTCAAGTAATATATTCTCTAGTCTTCAATTAAAATCTTTTATTAATATTCTGTAACTTTTATTTGTCCCAATTATATGAACTAGTAATCAAGTTGTTTTGTGACTTTAGTAAGATCTTGATATTACTTCTAAAAAATGATCCTTGCCATGAACTATGTTTAATTCCCTGAAAATTAATGTTCGTACGCCGCAAGATCAATAGTTATGATTGACTTTACCTCATTCACGAAAATAAACAAACTCCGCCAATGATATTCTAAAAATACCGCCAACTCCGCCGCACGCGATACTGTTATTAACTCCAAAACATACTTTTTTACCTCTGCCTCATTCCCAAACAGGTGTGTCTACTACAACCAGACTTCAATTACCAGAGTTCTGACACAAAATTCTCCTAAATTCTTAGTAATTTTTCGGGTATCTACTAAATGCGGACATATGAACTTGGTGGCGCGAATCGGATGACGCATGAATGCAACACGCCCAACTTCGTATGTGGCATGTCCGTCACATTGACTGATTTTATCGATAGGGTGTGTGTATTGAGTCATATTTGTGGATACTTTTCGATTATTGAGTAATGCTTCTATTGGAACCCTGGGGAAAATAACCTCAATACTCTTCGAAAGATAATTGACCTACACTGCTTTTGTAGATAATTGACATACACTGCTCCACCATCTACTGCATGTAGATGGTGGAGAAGTAGGAAATTCAATTAAGGAAAAAGTTGATTTGATATTGAACATCTTTTAATAAATAAAACCAAATTGAGGTAAATATCTCAAATAATTCATCGAATTTTCAGTATCTTATATCAGAGCTTTTCTTACCAATCACTGCTGCTATACTGATAACTTATTATTAGAGTATGAACAACCAAAATGTTGGTACCAGTATCAAATAATCAGAAGACAATTAAGATTCTGGAAAAAAGAGTAACCAGTATGAGCATAAATTAAAATTACCCATGTTAGTCTTACCATATCATCACGTAGTGGCAAAAACATGCTCTATTTATTATACTAACGATCAACAATATTACTCTTCTGTATCAAACACTTAATGCACAAAGCAGGAATGTGATTGC